TAATATTAACGAAAACATTACTATTCATACTAATGGTGAATGTTTCCTTTAACCGTTAATATCATTCAAGAACATTGACATTAATATTAATGATTAATGAAAACATTAATTTTAAAATTAATGTTAATGTTTTTCATTAATCATTAATATTAATGAATTAAGTTTTTCTTAGAAAACATTAAGCATTAATATTAATGGTTAATGAGAAACATTAACATTAATATTAATGGTTAATGAGAAACATTAACATTAATATTAATGGTTAATGAGAAACATTAACATTAATATAAAATTAATGTTAATGCCCCACCCCTAGTGAACAGACATTTCGATCGGTGAGATAAATACTCATTTCAAACAGAAAATTTCTACTCATGTCATAAATGAATTTGCCTTTCTTTCTGTTTACATAGAACCATTGGGAATAGAAATGTGTACGAGAACAGTTTCGTATACACTCTAAAACAAGGTGTTTCCTGTCTGCTCACCAGAAGAACCCTTTTAAGTTCGGTATGTTACTTATTATTTTTAGAGTGTATGCTGTTCAAAAATTTACGCAATGGTCTAATTTCTCGGATGAGAGAAAAGTAAAAATCATCCTATATCCTACATAACAGAAACATTCTTGCAGGGCCATTGCTTCTATGGAAAACGAGCCTTCTTCATTTATTCAATTCATTACCCCTTCTGCTTCGATTGTTTTTCTGTTGCAGCTTCAGTTTTTATGCTTTTGATTTAGTATAGGTGAATATGATGACATATCCTTCTATGAATTCTTGAGAAATTTTCATTTTGAGAATTTTTTTGTTGATTAATCAATTCAGTATTTGTCTAATTCTCTTACAGAACAAGAATAGAGAAATGAGTATTTCTCATACACCCCCTGAATCGACGAATGTTCTGTATGAATCCGTCAAAGTCATAGGCTATTTTACAACTTTGTAATTCGAGTAAAATAGGAAATAAGACTTTTTTAACCATGTCTAATTATCAATTTATTCACTTATACTTAAAGATATAGCTTCGAACACGTACTGTGAACTTTTATGATATCTGTGTCTGTTCTATAAACTGGTGAACTGTGCGTCAAAAATGCCACAATTGGTTTCAAAAAATATGAGATACTCTGAATTAAATGAAAAGTCTACCATCGGTCGTTCGTGGCGCTTTTACACTATTGCACTTATTATTAGCGGGGTTTTGATTCTATTGGCACCCAAACTTATATGGAAGAATCCTACTGTTCAACTTATTGCATGGAAAAATCGTCTCGTTGGTTACAGTGAACATAAAGCTGCATTCATTGATTCTTCTGGTTATTTGCGATCGATTTTATCGCCCAACCTTCGATGGTGTACTGCTAATCCATTTCTAAAACCCTATAATCAAAGTGTAGTACTTGCTTTAGAACTTAAATGGGTTGCATGGCAACGCAGTCAGCTACTCACTACATACGAAATTTTGAAAAACTATGCACTTCAAATCGGAGATTGGGGTGGTGGCATAGTTCATCTTGCATATCCACCATCATTACCGTTGCCGTGTCCTTACAAAAATAATCTGACTCGTATCGGTGGTATTCATGACGGTAATAAGATAATATGTGGAATTGAAATTTTCACCCCGCTTACTAAGTGTATCGTATATAGTTTGGGTTCTTCTGGCGATTTTAATTTTGAATGGGACTTGTTAAAAAAAACATCCTGTGAAGTTCACACATATGATTGCACGAGTCCACCGCCAGGAGGAAAGACTGAACGAATGACTTATCATCAAATTTGTTTAGGTGATACGTCAAAGTTGCAAAAATTTATGTATCCTTACAATACTCAAAAAGAAAATATCATATTCAACAATGAATCACTTTTCAAACGTTTTGACACAATATTGACCGAAAATAAACACGACGAAGTTCATATTCTTAAGATGGATATCGAAGGAGGAGAATATTCGGTATTCTCTGACTTGCTCTGCCAAACGAACAAAACTAATCTACCATATCAAATATCTTTCGAGTCACATTGGTGGAATCGTGATATATACCATGCGATACTGCATCAGAAAATGTTTTCTCAATTCTGGACAGCTGGTTATAGAATTCTACAACATGAATACAATCCAGGTGACCATACCTGTGTAGAATGGACATTAATGAGAGTTTTCTGCTAACATCTATCCAATGTTAACTAGATTATAATTTATAAAAACGAAAACAATCAGTTGTTAGTGATATTACGAAACAGATGGCTAGATAATCTTATCAAGTGGGGTTATGAATATGAATAGGAAATATTCAATATTAAATCAAATCATTTGAAATTAGTCTAAATGTTAAAATTTCTATTATTTGAATTTTTATTTATTAAACAATATTTATTGTTGTCACAAATCAGTATTTTAGTAATTAGATGATAATAAAAACCTCAAATTTTTATTAGTCTGTGTTTTTATTATCATTCATTGGTGATAAATGTAACACGGTAACCGATATGATATTGTTTAATATGTTAGGCCTAGTTTGTTGAAACGAATGAAGAATCATTGACTCAATTCAGTTTTCGAGGTTTCTGGCTGCATAATAGTTCAAAATGCAGACTTTAAAGCTCAAAATCAAATATTCATCCAGAAACACAATGCATGAAAGACTGATAAAACAAACAAAAAGATGTTGAAGCAATACGAAACACAGTATAGGGAATAAAAACAGATGTCGTGGAAACTGCGAACGACTCTATAATTCCGCTGCAACAAGATATACAAGTTCTACGGTTAAAACTTGATAGCTGTATTTCAGTTGCGGTTTTAATGAATTTCGATATTCTATATAGCCCCCTACTTGTGTAATATTAAATTGATTAAAGTAAGTATGAAATCTTAGTTGTACTTCTCTTTTTGATATGTAATAAGTATCAAGGGAATAGACTTGACAACTAGATCTATACTGTCGATTGTTTTCAAATTATTTCTAAATTTTTAGATTCTATATTGAGAAATACTTTTATTAGTATTCCTTTCTAAAATAATATAACTTAATACATCATCACATAGTTTTAATGATCTTTTGTCAATATCAGCTAAACAAATATAATTCGATTATGTTGATTTCATTATTGAACTAGTTAGCGATGATACAACTGCAAGTGGATCTCGAGTCTTGCCTCGAAATATGTTTTTCTTTATGCTAAAAATTATTAGATTAACTGATATCGATAATATATCGAGACGGCATTTTGTTCCGTCTCGATTCTGACGGTTTTAGCTACTCTATTGTTTGTTCGTATTTAGAGAAAGATGTTGCACAATTTCTTCGTCTCTCTCATGTAAAAAGCTACTTCAATATTCGTATTTTCGGATGCATTCGGCTACTTTCATTTCATATTCATCACGAAAATATTTTAGTAGAATATCGATCATGTGTGCATTGATTTTAATTTCAATAAAATATTGAAAACATAGTTCGTTCTTTAATATTAGATAGAATAAGTATTTATTTATTTATCTGTTGTTTCTTGTTATTGAATTTTTACATGTTTTGAAGGCTTTTACTGGTGTGTACATAGAAAAAATTAATCTTACTACAAAAATGATTTTGCACGCACCTATCCTTTAGGCATTTTTGTTTGCTTAAAAATAAAGCAAATATTTATTTTCTATTATGGTATTTTGGCTACTTGCCTACATTCATTTAATATATGTTACCGAAGTGCAAGTGAGTATTTACTATAAGAAAATGGCCGGGTTCTCAAATTTCTCCAAATGAATTTCGTCGCTAACTTGTGAGAAGAAATCATTTTTATCAAGACATTAATATTGATTTGTTAAAATATCTGTCAAGAGTTGATTTGATTCTTTCGATGTCAATATGTCTATGTCAAAGTTGATCTAACATGCGCAATCAGTTGCATAGCAACATAGATACCCAATTGAATTGTCTTGAGTAGTTTGATAAATTTTACTCTCATAAAAAGAAATGCATGTTCTTTGATAATAATATTTACTAGTTTCCAAATAACATTGATTGTAACTTTTAAAAATTTACGATAACCACGTTGGAAAAGAAACTCAGCGAAGATATAAATTAATTCTTCTTGTGCTTACATAGTAGCTATATAAAGGTTTAATATTAAATATTCACAGATAAATTCTTGCATGACGATGGCCATTTGTTACCAATATAGTATTGCTGTGAAACGAGTATTTTTATCATATAATGATCGAATTAATTCATCTTAGAGTTTCAAAATTTCCTTTCATTGGTGAATTCACTACTAATGAAACAAATGGTCTTAATAGATTGAATCTTTCTATCAAATCAAACTGAAATTTCTTTTGAGCCTGTATTATTTTATGGAATTGCTACGATGAAATGTGTTTTACCGAATGATGACCAATGAATAAATGAACATTTTCAGTAAATCGAGTTCCCAATGAATTAAAATCTAACTCAATATAAGCATCACTCTCTGTCGACAGTATTTCAGTTTGTTCGAATAATCAACTGAATAAAAAATACACCACACTCATTCCCCTATCCGCCTCTGCTTGAAGCTAGTTTACACTTTCGAGGTTGTCTTGTATCTACTCTCTACAAATATTTTACTTATTCCATTTTGTACCACTATTTGAAAAGTTTTACTTAAAACAAATGCTTACAATTAACAACATTCAACTAATGTGATATACAGAATAAATCTACTATGAGATCACAAAAGATTTGATAACAATAACGCTGGTTTCTTGTTTTAAATTTTGAGGTGTCTCGTTTAGTTGATTAAGATTTGATGCAGAAAAAAGACTTGCCGTAATTCTTTTCGAAATGCACCTGACGTTAGAAAAACAAAGAATGAAGTTGCACTGTAAAAATTTAGAAGAAACGAAGATGTCATAAATAATACGAAATTTTCAATTGCTGCTCGTTCAGTTGATTTTGGTCTGCCAATAATTAGAACAACTGCATTGTATAGTGTATTAATTGGATAAGATATAGTAAATATCATATACACAATCACTTGTACAAACAACATCGTACTTAATTGTCGATCACATTGTTGAAGACGCATTTTTTCTGAATGTTGATTATCTTGTTGTTGTGCAGCATTACTAACGGGATGTACATTATGTGCCATACGTTGTAAATTTCTATATGCCATGAAACTGAATATAGCCATGAGACTAGTTGGCAGTATGGCAGCAACAAAACAAATGTAGAGGGAATGATAGAGAGCTATCGGGCCTGCCCACATTGAACATTTTCCATTTTTAATAGTTGTCGATAGTGGAATATGTAATGGTATAATGAACCAAATAATGGGAATACAGACAATGATTCGTAGAACAACTTTTGGTTTAAACATTTCACGTATGCGAGCATTTCTCGACGATTGAGCATAACATGCAACACAAGCCAGTGTTAAATAACATCTTGAAATAACCAATAAAGCATTTCGAATGTACAAACGAAGTTTACAATAGATAAGATTTGAATTTTCTGCTGGCGCATTGTATGCTGAATCTATAGTTGGGATGATAAAGTAAATCATGACTATCAGATTAGCAATCGATGCAGCAGCAAAGAATACTGAACATGGGCTTGAACGTAGTCTCTTTCGAAGAAATACAAGACAATTTAATATATTTCCAAAAACACCAACAACCATAAGTGCCCCCAATACATTGGTAAGCTGTAGTTGAATAAGATTAAGTGTAGCGATGGTCGACATGTTTTCTAAATTATACAGAGTTAACTCCTCAGTGCATTGGCATACAATTGATTGTATAGAATTCTCTGTAGCTCCGGTAGTGCTTTTATCTCCGGACAAAGTATACTACTGAACTTGTAAAGATGAAAGTTCTACTCAGTAAGTGTCGAAATCTGTTTTAAAGTTAAAATGGCAGTTTTAAGAACCCAATGATCTACTCATATGATTATTTAAGTGTTTTATGCCACACTCTACGTCAAGTAAGATGCTCAAGGATATACCAATAGTGCTTGAACTAGAGAATAAAAGAATGAAAAGTAATGCAGAAACAGTAGTTTGATGTATATGTGTCTACCGTTTATCAGAACACATTTTTTATGTATATATTTTGCAATAGACGGGAAAAAGTGGGCATCAATAAAAAACTAAGAAGTGAGTCAAATTTGCTAAACGACGTCATTACCTTACAAAATTTTTCGCACTGCCATTATCAAGAATCATAAGAACACAGTCTCAAATTTCAAGACAACACGAGACCTATATTCTTTTGATTCTTACTTTTTCTCTCATCGTTATGCAACATATATTATATAGATGAGAGCATCTTTCTATACCTTTACTAACAAACATCGCAAAGATTTATTTATGCAATTTTGATGGTGCTGTACTTTAAAAAAAAGAGTGACTGTTAAAAACAATCTTATTAAACCTGACTTGTCCATGGGAATAAAAGTACTCTTCTAACATCACTTCGATGACTTAGAGATCAAATTATGGTGCCATAAATCGACACTACTTGATGAATATAGTCTGTTGTTTTCAATTTGTAAAATAGCAAATTCAAATTATTGATTCTGTTCAGTAAAATTGAATGAAGAAGTGATTATTCATTTTTCAGTTGTAACTGTTCACTGAGCCATTCTTCGATACGATACGACTAAAATATTCGCATCATACACTAAAAGACATCAATACCGGTCTGTTATGTTATGCAATTTTTATTCGAAATTACTCAATTAAATACATTATTCAGTTTCCTTCACAGCATACCGAACAAGGCTCGCTTCCTGTTTTCTCAGTTCTTCAATGTTGATGAGCTCTTCTCTGGAGACCATTTTCCTCGTGATTTAGACTAATTAAGTGTGGTATGCGATCATTTTTCCAGGATAATTATTTCCAAAATTGTCCTTGCGAATCATCAGAAGAAAGAAACGGAAAAAGCATAAAAATTTTTGATTAAGGTGCTAGCCACAGTGTTCACTGTGCACATGAACATTCTAATGAGATTTTGTATTCTCTGGGTATAATGATTTGATCAGTTGATATCTCTCGCGTCTCGAGTTGTATAAATCAATTTCTTCAATGATATTTAAAAAAAGAACAATTAGCAAAGATATTTTTCTTGAAAATTTTAAACAGAGATGGAATACATGGTTCCGTTATTTTGTGGCTTCAGCAAAGTTACTTTGCGATCGATTTTATTTAATATCTCTTGTATATTGTGAATCGTTTGCCGACGTGCAGATTTTACTGCAGGACTAACATCAATCAGCTCATCACATTGTAGCATTAATGCTAATGCTTCATTCTCAATTTGGTCGTAGACATCATCATCAGATGTTTGGTAGTCGTCAAGTAATTCATTTAGCAGAGCCACATTTTAAAATATGGAAGAAAAACAATTCAGTTGACATAATCAATCTTCATATGGTTTTCATTAGCATAAACGTAAATCAATATTTAAACGCAAACCAGTCCAAATCGCGTTAGCGATTGCGCATGATTGAAAAGAATCAAGTTTACCATAAAAAGAAAAAGACAACTAGCTTTTAATTTAACATTTATATGTCGATATCTATACGCCTATAATGATCGAATAATCGATTATTTGCATCTTATTCAACTTAATCAGAATATTTTCATAGGCGACAACGACTAAATCCAATGATCATGCAAAACTTAATATAAAAAAGTAAAAGAGAACAAAAAACAGTGATACACTTACTTCGTTAATCTGTTCAAGTTCTTTGTGACCAAAGACATCATTCAAATGATCGGGAGATGATTCAATCGATTTTGACTTTTGTTTATGGCTTGATGGTAGATCATCAAACGATGAAAATACGTTGTTTTGTACAGGCGATATATCATTTGTATTTTCAATCAATTGCTTGTCATTCGGTTGATTTGTTTGTATTGTATCAGAAAATGTTACTCTTCTTATAGACGAATTATGGTCCGAATCGGAAGAGATTTCGTCAGATGTTTCAAACGAAGTTGGACGCCAATGTTTCGTACTTTCAATCAGATTTGCGAATGCACCGTTAGGATAAATATCCCGATGATAAGAATAACCAATTTTATGATTCACTATTTCTTTAAATACATAATTCGCCGTTCGACTATCAAATGGATTCTTTGCTGTTTTACGGAATGCTTTGTTATATTTTCTAAATGTCTCAAAATCTGAATAATCATCACATAAGTGACGCATGACTCTATCAGGGCTCTCATTATAAATAACACTGACTCTGTGATTCGAAGAGCATAGATCAGGAAGATTTTCATAGTAACATTCATTGACAATCAGACAAATTTGATCAACAATATCATACTTCAACAATTGATCAATTACTTGTATATTCGTTGCATAGGCTCCCGAGATAATCACTGAATAAATATCTCTCATGGTTGTTAAGCTGCATTGTTGACGACGTGAGCCTAAAAAGTCATCGATACAATCAAAAGCCGCATTAAAAACATGTAATCTATTAGCTGCGATCATATCTTTAGCAAACGCTAAGTTACGCTCATTTACGAACAGGTCAAGCCAAATAATGTTGTCATGTAGTGTGCTATAGGGAATGAGTCGTGGTAGCTGTATTTTATTTTGATTAATATCATGTTGTTGAGCAGATCGACATTTTCTTGGAGCAGGTGTAGGTGGTATTGATGACGAATATGAGCCTTTCATACGAATATGCGTCATCGACACAACCATTTGATTTCTCTTATCGATTGTTATTAGAAAAATGAAAAATACGGCATTGCTTCATTTCCCCAATGTGTGAGAACGAATAAAGCTGCCGCTTAAGAAGAAGAAATATTTTGGAGAGTAATGCTATTTTATTTATTTATTAGGAAGTGACTGTGTACACTCAAATGTATATAGCCTTGTCACTATGCACACTCAAATGTATATAGCCTTGTCACTATGTACACTCAAGTGTACACAGCTACATATACATATATAATTTTCTCTGTGCTTAATTATTCTTAATATAAAGAAGATATCTCATACATAATTTAACGAGTGCCCTATAATAGATGTCCGGGTTTTCTATTTAATGTTTTTAATATCAAAATAAATTTTCTTAACAAAAACAGAGGAGCCCACAAGATGCAGTGCCAAAAACTCTACACTCCACAAAGTAAAGGTTACTTTGATTATATAATTTGTGCTCTCGAAAAAATAAAAATTCTGTGCGATATATTTTTCCTGCACTTTGAAGAGCATTTTTTTTCAGTTTTTTTCATCCTTTTCGCGCCTAACACGGTTTCTTAAAAAAAACACAAGATGCAGCTTCAAAAGTTGCACATATTAAAAAACCGCACCACGTTTTGTTATCATAATAAGTAAAATTTTGTGAGATCAAGCTTCGGCGTTTCGAATTGAGCACTTTTTTTTAGATGAAACAAAGATTACTATTTTCTTTCTTATTTCATTTTTTCGTAGCCTGATGGTGTGTGGGTGTGGTTGAGTTCAAAATACAGTCACATCCACACCCAAATTGCAAAACAATTCTTAATATAATTTTTAAATTTTCATTTGTCCTTACATATTCTGTATTATTGTTATTCATTGGAATAAGCAAAAACGAACGTTTATTATTTGACGTTATCTTTGTTACATGAGAGGCATGAATGTATATAGATATTATTGGAATTCCATTTTAGTTCAATAATGAAACGGAGGGAAAAGACAAATAATCCATATCCCCTACCGTTTATACAGGTTTGCCGTCCCATTAACATATTACAAAAGAAAAGGAACAATAATTAAAACAATACCTATATATTTATGG